ATGTTTGTAAAGCTCACTACAGTGCCTACTACATGGAGGGGCTCCACAAGGGGCAGCTGTTATCAGCAGTAGTCTATGTAGTTATGTCTGTGAATGTGTTTATTTCCTGGCCACAGGCTCTGTAAAACGGTGGTGAGGGCAACAGACTCCAGGGTTGGAGCTGCCTGAGCTCAAATCCCACCTCCACCACTGATTATATATGTGATCTCGAGTGAATTCCCTCTGTGCCCTCATGTGTAAAATGGACAGAATACTTACCTGTGGCTATTGCAATGATTAAACGAAGACAACGTTCACACTCATGTAAGTGTGTGCCACTATTACTATATAATTGGTGGAACCCAAATGTGGGAACCAAGCCTCTCCAAGGGGGTCAAGCTCCTTCAGTGACCAAAGGAACTCAGTGCCCACTGGAACTGGGGCATAAACTTGTCGATTTTGGTGGGTCTCACACATGTTCTGGCTCACATTGAGAAATGAGGGTAAGTCATTTCAATGTGGGCCCTTCCCCCCCCACACCCCATGGGAAAGAGAAGTGTCAGGCCAGCCGTGCAGGTCACTGGGTACAGATGCCCCCAGCCTTTGAAGACCTGAGACGATGGGAATTGAAAGGACAGGCGCCCCACTGGGCAACGGTTCAGCTAAAAGTTCACATTGCTGCACATTTGAGAACTTCCTGACCAGCCGCCCTAGTGTCAAAGGGATCTGAACCTCTCCTTGTCTCCAGCCCTGACATGGAATCGTGAGCGAATGCTTGCGTTCACAGGACAGCGCAAGGCATCAATGGGCTGATTATGTCAAGACATCTGAAGACAAAGCAAAATGAACTTCAAAAGACTTAGGAAGGCCTGGAATCCCCTTTCAGAAGTCAGCAAGTTCAGTTGTTGCTAAAATTCCCATATTGGGCTCACATTTTGTCTTTGAAATTACAGCTCAGATGGCAAGTAAAATTCTTTACTGTATTTACACTTCTGATGAAACAGTTTCACCCTTGACTCTTGTTTAAAAAGATATTTATCTTTTTCGTGGAGAAGGCTTCCTTTTTGAATGCCGTTTCTACATTTATACTATAGCATTCACGTTGCTTTCATAAATATGTGCATGTGCATATTTATATACATAAATGGATTTATGTATTTTTAAATGTACGTATTTATAAATTTAAATTTATATACATAAATTCCTCTTAAATGGAAAGAAGGGGTGGGGGCTGGAGACCTTAATACATCTTTTTTATTATTATTATATAGAGGATTGCATGTTCTTTGGACTTTGAAAAGGAAATACTTTCCAGCTATTTGGCTTGGCAAGTCTAGAAAAAAAGGCACACAGGATCTAATGAAAGGATTTTTTAAGGAAGGAAAGGATTTCGTGAAATGGATTTTAATAAAGGCACTTAGGAAATATAACTCAATCTAAAATATATTCTTAAGAATATACTTCCTGCCTATTTATTCTTTTTAAAAAAATGTGTAGTGCATTCCATTTTTACACATAGATATATACAATTTCCTGGTTGGGGAATGATAGCAAGAGGCTGTTCTGAAGTCAAGCAGGTTTATTATAAAATAAAACACAGATACAGTAAATCCATTTTTTTCTTTTTATTCTTTTTATTTTGCACTATAAACAACGACGACAACAATAACCAGGAACATACTGCTCTTCTTCACTTTCGTATGGATTTCCGGAAATTATTGCCTTCTCTCCTGGAGAAATAACCCAAATGAAAAAGAAGTAGCACATTACAAAATCTGCAAATCCCAGAAGCCCACAGCTTGAAGACAAACATATAGCTTAGTGGATTATAAGGCTAACACTCACTTAGACCAAGAAATAGAAATTTCCCAGATATTCCAGAAGCCCTTCACATGTGTTCCATTCCTCTCTCCAAAAAGAACCACTATCTTGACTTTTGGAGTAATCACTTGCCTGTTTCTTTATGATTTTGTTACCCACGTGTACATTCTTAGCACTGCAGTTTATTCTTACTCACTCTTAAAAATTTGGTAAGTTTAAAATTTTCTTTTGATCTCCTGGCTTTCCTTCCATCCCTTGCTTTTGCTTACAATTTATCTGTTGAAGATCTTTGGTGTTTTGTCCTATGGAATTTCCTACTTGTCTGGATTTTGCTGATTGGGTACTTATGGTGCTGTTCAACATGTTTCTCTGTCCTCTCTGTAATCTGCAAATCAGAAGCTGGATCCAGAGCCCAATAAAACTTTGACTCAGTCATTTTGGCAAGACCACAGGAAGTGGCATGTTATTTCATTAGATAGCATATGTCTGGTTGTCTCTTTTTCTATTATGTCAACAGCCATTGAGGCTCATTGCCTAGATCTATTAATTTGGTGGAGATTGAGAAATGGTGACATTCTAACTCAACATCTCATTTTACTTTATAGCTGGAATAATTTATAAGAAGACACTGCCCTACTCTATTATTTGGTTCCACAGTTGTATGGTTTATATATAAAAGTCAGGAAAAAATGCTTGATTTTTTTCTCTTTACCTATTTTTAACATAATGAATTGGTTCTTTGTGATCCTCAAAAGGGACTAATTTGATTTTTTAGAAAATATATAATTATGACTCATGAATTTAAACAAATTTAACAGCTTTAAATACATTACATTTCTTATCTTTATTCAAACTTACATTGTCCCATTTTTGGCCACCAGAAATTTCTTAACATTGGCAGCTGAGTCCTTTTGACATGACCTGATTAGTCTTTGACAGCATCTTTTCTATTTGGTGGGACATAATGTCCTAGGTTCATCTTGCATAGTTCCTATCCCAAACTTGGAATTAGCTATTTCTCCAAGAAACTGTGGTTTCTTGTAGTAGGAAATTATATTTGAAGATCACAATCTGGGCACTCCAGATGCTTATTGCAGCTAGATTAGTCATGTTTCTAGGTATTTTTGGTGGGCTTATATTTAAATATAAAATAGCTTGTAAATTCATAATAGTGTTTCCAATCCAAATTCAGAGTTGCAGGATTTTTACTTAATTTCTTCCATATCATATATGTATCTCCTTTCTTCAATACCAAGAGCCTTGGTCCTCAAGGACATAGTGAATGTGAGGATGAAAATATTCCATCGTTATTCATTTTCTTTATCCCACATAACATAATTACACACACAGTAGTCAGGATAACAATACTAATACTGTCACTACCAATTATAATTACTAAAAGCAGTTTTTTTTTAATTGAAGCTTCATTTTCATTTAGGGTATAGAAAGCTATAAGAGAACATCACTCACACCCTTACAACAACAAAAAGCCATATAACCTACAAAGTCCTATTTTAGTCCAATAGAGATCTGACATCTCAACACAAGCAGATAAACTGAACTTCTAAGATTAATAAACCCCTCTCAGAAGATATGAGACACACAAAATCTTTTACCTCTGGCAGAATGTGGGAGGAAGAAGTAGTAGCCCTAAAAGTGGGTAAGAGCAACTAAAATTGTAACAACTTCTTAAATGTCAAGTGAGGGATAACATGACAATGTAGGAGTCTCAGACATAGGAGAGTCCTCTATGTACTCAATAGCTCTTTCCATTGGTCTTTGCTGAATGCTTATGAGAAAGATCAGGGACAGGAAAGGCGAACTGAGAGTAAGATCTCATTCTTCCACAGTGAGGATGAGTGGGCTCTGTCAAAGTCTGAAGGTGGAGCAGGACTGCTTGGGGTAGCCTGTCCATACCCTGGGCCCTGATCAGTGGCCACTATGAGACAAGGGGAAAACTCTCCCCTACTTCAAAGCAAAGGCTGGCTGCAAAAGGGCAAGGGGTGGAAAACAAGTCTTCATTGGCAGCACTGAAATTAGGAAAACCCTCTGCTGCTAGAAAAAGGAGAAGAAAACTCACTTATACCCAGGATCCTGAATTGATGCAAAGCAGAGTTCTGCTGCCACTGGGGGTGGACAGGAAAATCACTCTCATCCAAGAACTTCTACCATTGCAAGGCAGAATCTGAATGCGACATGGAGGGGTGGGAGTTGCAGGAATGTTGAGAAAGGCAAACTTAAAAAAAAAAAAAAACCCACTTTTTAAGACCATTTACACTTAGTGTAAATGTAAACATAATTGAATTTAAACTTACCACTTAACGTATGTTATTCTGCTTTATTCTGCTGTAAAATGTGGCCCAAACATCTGAGGGTAATCTATATTTTTCCTTGATAAGTTAATAGCTATTTTTACCTGGATGCCTAAGGAATTTTTATCTTTTTCTTTTAAATGTAGTAATATTTCTTGTTATTTCTCAGTATATATTAACATCTTCAGGTACACAATATGCTCTTTCAATATGAAATTTCAAATGTTATTTAATTTCAGGAAACTTTTCTTTAATTACATTTTTGGAATTTGTTCTGTTCCCTTGTTTTGGTTTTCTTCCTAAACTCTGGTTATTCACATATTGGAGCGTCTTTACTATCTTCAATATTTGTCATGTTATGTTGACTACTTCAAGCTCTTTTTTGTTTATTTTTTATTTTAAAAATGTTTCTCCTTTCATCTATTATTTTTCCTGAAGCATTTGTTGTGTTTATTTCTTTTGTGCTCCTTACAGTCCAGGCTTCTTTTCTAAAATAATTTGTTCTTATTTTGAGTTACTTCTTCAGTTCTACTTCTGTTTTTTTCTAATTGTGATTTATTTTGTTCTTCATCTCTCATATCATTTTCTTAATGTCTTCTACTCATTTTGAAATAATAGATTGCAGTTTTAATCTATTTTATGGACATGTCTTTCTGGCATGTTTTCATTTTCCATTTTACATATGGCTTAGTCTTATTTTCCTTAAAATAACTTTTCATGGAGCTTGACCGCCATAGTTTTCTACTGCTCAATTTTATGTGAAATTGGTTTCTGCTAATTTTTAGAGGACGGCGGCTTTCCTCGGGTAACATTTTTAACTTCACAGAGATCACTCCTCTGTGGCTTTTAATGTAGTGTTAAAAAGATAAGGGCTTTCTGGCCGCCGCCATGAATAGCGTAGGGGAGGCCAGCACGGACATGAAGCGCGAGTACGATCAGTGCTTCAATCACTGGTTTGCCGAGAAGTTCCTCAAGGGGGACAGCTCCGGAGACCGGAGCACCGACCTCTTCAAGCGCTATCAGCAGTGTGTCCAGAAAGCAATAAAGGAGAAAGAGATTCCCATTGAAGGACTGGAATTCATGGGCCATGGCAAAGAAAAGCCTGAAAGCTCTTCTTGACCTTGACAGTCACCTTGAAAATAGACTCCTCCAATCAGGAAATTGAGGACACTGGATTTCGTCACTTAAGGCTGTGAAAATAGCCATCGATTTGATGAGTTTAGGAGGGAGGAGTTTTCTTTCCTTCTTGATTTCCTCTCACTTGTAAAAGATGATGAACCATCACTCTTTGCTATGAGATGATTTCTCACTTGCTCTGGCATCTTGCAGGAACTCCATGTGCTTAAACTGAATGACTTCTTGGGATTATGGTTGCAGTACTTGGTCTGGGATCAGCTTTAAATATCCTTTGTATGTAAATACTGATAAACTTGTCAGGATGATCAGGGTTGCCTGACCTCTTGAGTTTTGCTGCAAAGGACATTAGGTACATTGTACTAGGGTTATTATTCATGGAAACAATTGGTTACGATCTCTCTTTTCTCTCAGGGAGCTAAGGCTCTGAAAAGGGATCCCAGCACAACAGTCTTAATCAATGCTTGGGAGCACGGTTTTAAGATTGCTGGTGGACTGGGTTGGCCAAGAGGAAGACAGCTTTAAGAGTTCTCTGCCTTAAGAAGAGGTGTCAGATTTCTGATTAAGATGTGAAAGCTTGAAGAATGTTGCAGTACACACCATTTCTGAGCTCATAGTGTAGTTTAGGAATGAAGATCCTTGGAGTAACAATGGAGGAAGATCCTAAATTGCAAAGATTTGCTGTTGCCAGCTTTCAGCCCAAATTAAGCAAGCCAACCTGTATTATCATTAAACTGCCAAAATGCTGCATTTAGTTAAATGGGAGAAGTTTGTTTTATTTGCCTTGTGTACCTATCCTGCCTGTAATGTTTGTAATCATGAAGATGGAATAAATTGTAACATTTAGTTTCAAAAACAAAACAAAACAAAACAAAACAAATATAAGGGCTTTCTTTGTTACATTTCTTGGTTTTCTTTTCCTTCCTCTTCTACTTTTATCTGAACCTTCTCTTTCTCATCACTGTTGTCTGCGACCTGCTCAATTCGATTCCACTCCCAGAATTTTTTCCTCAGTGTGGGGCCGTGTCCTGAAAGGGAGACATGGCTGTCAGTTTCAAGAATTCATAGGCTAGACTGTCCCAGGATTTTCAGTTCTTACTGTGGGACCCCCCACTCACTCCCGTTCCAGTGGGCAAACTCCTACTGGAATGTCTGTTTCAGCTGCTGCTCCCAAGTTACTTCTCTGTGCTTCTCGGTGAAGATCTATTGGCTATTTGGGGTTCTTCCGTTCTTAGGTGCTTCAGCCATCCTCTTGCTTCCTCTACTCTTCCAGCTTAGATGTTGAGACAATACAGATCTTATGGTTCTATTGGCATTTTTCCATCACCCACCAAATTTTCAGGTTTGAGGGTACACATTCTCACCCCATTTTTATAAATGTATCCCATGGGTATTCATTTGTATCTAGCAGCTTTGTGGAAATTTGAGATCTGAAAACTGTATTTCCACTGTTACCAGCTTCTTCTCAGAATCCCTTGCCCATTTATTCTTAAATAGCTGCTGAATAATTCTCTGAGAACCTTTGTCTTTATTGGACATGTATGATTGAACTACGACTTCCTCTTTTTCCAGCTAGTCCATGCTTCTGGGGGAAATCATTCATTCATTGGACATTCCCTGAGTACCTACCTACCTGATTACACTAGGCAGTGGAGATGCAAAATTGAACATGATACAATGAAGTCACAATCTAGGGATATGAGCCATGAAATGATGACTTGCATGAAGGAAGGACCAAAAGAAAGCGTGGGGGGGTGTAGAGTGGGGAGAATGATCATCATAGACCTCTGAGCCTGGCCTTTCTGTGTAGAATAGAAGAGGCTCTTATATTCCTCTTTTACTTATTTGTTTATCATCACCATTATCTTGACCATAATACGGTACAGATGCAGAGGCGTAATCAGCATAAGCTGTGCTTTCATATTCTTTCATTTGATTTTCACAATAACTCTAGGACACACTATAATTATAGGTGAGGAAATAGAGATTCAGGGAGAAGTGACTTGTTCAGGGCCATTCTACTCAGTAAGTGACAAAGTCAGAATCTAAACTTTGATGAGTCTGATTCCAAAGTTCTTTGCTCCATAGCCTGATACCTCTGTTGTTTTTTTAGAGTTAGTTTGAGGATATTTGCAGCAGACTTCAGCCCACAAACACTTTTATAAAGTTCATGATGACAGAAACTAAGGATTGGCTCAACCAACACCCATCTCCATCTCTTTCTCTCTTGCCTGCCTCCACTACAGAGGCTAGAATTAGTAAAAAACCTCACCTTCCCAGTCTCCCTTATAGAGGTGGCCTTGTGACACAACTCTGGCCATGAGATGTAAGTCTGTTTAGTGCTTCTGGGAAATGTCTTACTTTCTTGTTAAAAAGGACACATGTGGCAGGTGGCTGGTATTACCTTCTCATTCTTCACTCTTCAATTGGATGTAGACTTAATGTCTGGTGCCAGGGCAGCCATCTTACAACCATGAGGAAAAGACCAAAAGAATCCAGAGATATGGGCCCTGAACCAAGGTTTCTGCTTGAGAAAATATGAGAACAATGACAAAGTACCCCTCTATATGTTTCGTTTACCATTAGTTGAGTATACTGACGTTAACAGCCAGAAGTGTTCCTGATACACTTGCCTTTGGTAAAAATAAAGACATCATAGACTTTCAAAACTTTCCTTATTTTAAGCAGTAGGAAATGGTTAAAAGCATTTTCTTAACTATGTAAAGTAATTCAAATATAACCGGGGCTAGAGTTCCACTTCTGATGGACTCCCTTTTTTAAAATCCTGCAGTGTTTAACTTTATACTGAGCCTCGCTCAAGGCAGACTAGTGGCTACTGTATTTGAGCAGTCAACATTCATGCAGTTTCTGTTTACTAAGGCATTAGCAGAAACATATACTGAAATATATACCACCACGTAATAGATCCCAGATGTGTTATTATATTTTTAAAGAGAGAAGAAAAGATAGTTGGAGGAATAAGTAACCAAAAAGCATTTTCTGTCAATGTGATCAGACTTGTATGTAATCAGAGTGAAAAAAACAAACAAACTTAGAATGCACGCAGAGGGATTAAGATTTGGTTCACTCTGTTAAATTCAACAAATGATCACCGAGTCTTCCTCAGAGCCAAATTACCTGTGTTACCTCCTCTCAAAAGCCTCTTTCTGCTTGTTATTCCAGTTCTAAAGACAATTAAAGGAAGGTTAATGGACTGCACAGTTCCAGCCACACAGAAGCCGAACTGGGATTCAATCCCAGCCTGCCTTACTTTAAAGTCCACATGATTACTGTTTCAAATAACTCAAAAGCAATTATAATGTCTATAAAGAGAAGAGGGAAAAGCATTATTTTTAAAAAGTAAATGTCATTCTGGGGAAGGGAGAAAGTTTTTCCTGGATGGCTCCAGGAAGTGGACCAGTGACTTTTGGTAAGTGGATATTACCAAAAAGCAGGCTTTGACTGCATAGCATCATCCTGAAAATCTCTATTTCCTGCCAGCTCTGTATCACACAACATGGCAGGTGTGTCTCTAAATGGCGTAAATAAAAATAAGATTCTTATGTATCCTGGAAGGAAAAAAAAAATCTCACGAGGGAGATGGAATGCAGTACATACATACAAAGTGATTACACATGTATATTTGTTGTTAGTTCCCGGTTTGGGGCTGTGTTCTGAAAGATTGAGGTTGTCAGGTAATCCGTTTCTACGTAAACCAGTTAGCAGAAAGAGAGACAAGTGTCCAACCAGAGCCATCCCACTAACCATCCCTCAAACTCTAGAGATAGTGTGGATTCATGAGCCATGAGAACATGCCAAAGGGACAGCCATTACAGGAAGGTAACCTCAGAGCTGTGATCTTTCATGTACCAAACAGTGGCAGATATATACATGCCTCATCCCTTGGACATTTTTCTTTTAGAGATTCCTACGGGACTCTTTGGATTTGGGGTGTGAGTGTTACCCATCCAATGGACTTTGTTCCTGGGTCCCGTAAAAGGACTTGTTGAATATATAGAATAATAGATGTTCTTTGATGGCTATACATTTTAAGGCAAGAGAGTAGCTGCTGGTAAACTCTTTAGGTGCTAGAGTGTGGATAGTGCTTACAATTTAATGCAAGTTGATGCCCTCCTTGTACTCCACACTTGGGACAGCTAGATCCCACAGAGAAGGAACCACGGGAGCTAGAAAGTTACTCATTTTGCTCTCCATTAAATATTTAAAACATCCCACATAGCTGTCAGGAGGCTTGGGGGGCCTTACAGGAGTAGATGGGAGGAGGCTATAAATTGTTTTCACCTGGATGGGCTTGGGCCCAAGGCATCCTAAATTTTCAGCCACGCGGGGATGGAGGAAACTAAGGAAAATTTACTCCATAAATCCAGTGTGGAGTGGGGATACTAACTTACTACAAAAGGCTGACCGCTGGAGGATACTCAGGACTTGCAGATTACTATATAATGATCTTATCCAAACTCTGGGTTGTCAACGTGGATATTGCCCGACAGAAGGGCAATGAAGTTGAAGCAAATCCCTATTCTTTACTCAGGAGTCACAGAGATGGGGCCCAAGATTCTCCACCAGAAATTATACTGAAAGACACTTAGATCATCAAAGCAGAATCCAGCCCTCTGGGAGGAGGACAGTTGGTCAGCAGAGCAGGGCCCTACTGAGGCTGGCTGGAGAAGCTAGAAACTAAGTAGCACAAAAGCTCAGGATTAGCGAGGGTGTTGGGATAGAAGACAACCTCATGGCCTGGGCCCAGCTGGAGACTGGGAGAGCTGAGATGTGAGCATCTGGGCTTCCTCCCAGTGGAGAAGTCTGCAGTCTACTCAGCAACCAGGAGAATTACAGGGTTTCTATGGGAGCTAAGTGGCCATGGTCACACCTCCAAATCATGGAACTGGGAGCATGACTCACTTCCAAACCCCACAAGGTGTGAGATGAAGCCTCGTATTAAAGAACTTGGCTCATGAACCACCTGCTCTGCACACATCCTTCAAGGTTCGTCTCCATCGAATATAATGGGCCTCAGACACCTGTATACATTTCATGATCTCTATTCTGATCAACTTGCTTCAAGCTACCTTACATTCTGCTCTTCCTTCCTTCTGCTTTGCTGACTCATCTCCCTATTGATGCCTCATCTCATCCTGCAGATTGATGCCCGGTGCCACTCACCAGTTTTGATTTTGGCTTCCCTCTTCATTATAGGGTGGACTCTGTCCAGCTGCCCTTCTTTCATTTGGCGCAGGTAAGCCTAGTGATCTTACACCAAAGCACAGAACCCCAGGAGCAGCCACTCTGCTGAGCATGCCTAGGCCCACAGATAAGACCCACACAGGGACTGGGTGGGCTAAAGCCTGCAGGTGAATGACATCCATAAGCCAGCAGCAAGCTACTGGAGGAGAGAGAGGACGAGGTAACAAAGAAAGGGTTGGACCTCTGATATGTTCAGAGGCTCACAATGTT